GGTCGTCAGCACATCCTTCACCCGATTCAGCTGCGCAGTCAGACGCACAGAGACCATACCGAGTGATGATTCCCCACCGCCTTTCTTCTTCTCGTACAGCGCAATCAAATCCTCCTTCTTATTATCTCCACTTTGTACAGCAGGGAGCTGGCGGCAACGTCATCATCACCGGACAGCGGCCCAATATCAACAATGTGCGTGTTGTCCGTCAGCCAAAGATGGAGTACGCCTTTTTCCTTGGAATACACCGGCAGAGTAACGAGCATCACAGTTCTCTTAGCACCATCAACACCGTCAATATTCGCTGTGATGAACCCGCTTCTAACGCCCTTCTCATGTCGCTTTTGGTTGTTGCCCCACACGCGCGAGAGTGTCCCGAGGGCCTCCGTCCACGAGTCCCCCTTGTCACCGGACTCGTACACCCTGCGGCGGCCATCATCACACGCAGTCATCATCATGAGTTTTCCCTTCTCCCGCTCCACGACGGAGGGATCACTGCAGCCATCGGCAGACATCCCCTTCGACAGCTTCCCACTCCCAATTTCTGAGGAGTATATGATCAGCGAAACGGCCTTTCCATCCTTCGTGCCTTCCACGGGCAACACAAGCGCACCGTCCTTCATCTGAACACCCGATCCGCCGCCGCCAATCAGCCGTGTCAAGGATTCGTGTCGTTTTTCAAAATCAGTCCACGGGATAACGGAAGCGTCGTTCCAATAAATTTTTTTTTTATCGCTGCTCCCATCATTACTGACTTTGCCGCTTGCCACCAAAAGTCCCCATTTAGCTGCTGCAGGTGTCTGATCAACGCCTTCAGTAACCTCAAAACTGTAGGTTCCAGCAAACATGTAAATATCACTCCCATTCACAACTGTTGTTGGCCGGCTCACACGTACTTTTGTCCGACTTTGGGAATCCTCCTGAGCTCCTGTTTGGGAAGCAGAATCCTTATTTTCGGCAGGACATTCCTCCAGTACTTGTGTCTTCAGTTTAGTTGTATCCAATTCTTTTGATTCCTGATCAGTTAACGTCAAGAGCTCCGAGGAAATCCCAGTAAAACCGCTCTTACTGGCTTCCTTCAACTGCGCCTCGGCAACGGCAAATACATCACCATCCATCTCAACAAGACCTGGAACATGGAGCGAATCCACTGTTTCTCCTTCTTCCTTATCTCTCCAAGCAAAAGATGGACTCGGTAAAGATTCCTGACCTGGCGCTAGCCCATCAGCCTCCGCAACCACACCACTGCCGCACCACATCACGACGAGGAGAAGCAGCACCGCGGAAGTAAACGCACGCCAGGACATGTTGGGCCTCGGCGGCTCACTCTCTCTTCCTTCTCTCCTCCTTCCGCTGGATCCGGTCACGCGGCGACGGTTGTGTGTGCGGGGTGCCTTCACTGCAGCAACACGTGAGTGCATATAAATATTTGTGTGTGGGCGGTGTGTGTGCTGTTGTTCCTTTCAGTGCCCTCGAATTTCACAGTGGCGATTAGCGCTTGTTTGCTTTCTTCGTAGGAGAGTGACAGAAATGAAGAAAAACAGGCTAATAAAAAAGGGGTGGAAGAATAAGCACCGCCACCCATCCACAGTGAGTGGCACCATCATCCCCGCCGCAGTCACTCCCAGCAACAAAAATTCACGCACACAGAAACACGGAAAAAGAAGAAAAAACAGTGCACCGGGAACAAACAGCGACTGCCACCACCAGCAGCAGCAGCAGGAGCCACGGCGGGTGTGTCGTTATTCACGTGTCACCACACACCGAACAACACACACACCCAGCAAAGCAACCAACGGGATGCAAAAGAGCACAACGGCCCTTCGCAGCAATAAAGCGCTGCCGCCGGTTGTTTAATTCTTGTCCCTCCAACGCACCCGCTCGACCGCCGGCGCACATCACCCCGCATAGCCGGAGAATCCCACATCGGCCGATGAGCAGCAAAAGAGACACTTCGGCACGTGCAGCTGCTGTGCGGGAGGCGATACGCACGTACCCCAGGCACCCTCAAAGACACACCACCCAATCAGCTGCATGCCGCCAACATTGCACCCGCAACATGTCAGAAAAATGAATTGCAGGCTTTTTCCCTCCTCGCAAAAGCCACCGCAGCCAGAATCTTGTGCGTACGTGCGTTTTCAGCGTTCACGCCGCTCCAAAGCATCTACGACGTGGCGTGTGTTTCTCTGTGTGTGTGTGCGTGTTTAAATGTGCTTGTTTGTTTTTCAGCGCCTATACTCGCAGAGCAGCTGTGCGGCACAAAAAAGCATCCAAAAAAAGCTACGGCATAGAGAGAAGCGGATAGCACACACGCACTCCCACGGCGTCGGAACAGACGATGTTCTGGAAACCCAAATCGGCGGCTGTGGGTGGCTTGGTGCTGCAGTGGAGAAGGTTGCGGTGACGGGCATTTCCTTGCCAAACCAAATTGAACGTAAATCTGCTTTTTTCCCTTGTGGCTACCGTCGGAATCGTTGTCTGCGGGATCGGCATAGCCGGGCAGAAAAACTAGACAATGAATGAGGAGGTTCTTCGTGAAGACACTCCCATCAAAGGCGGTTTCTATAACTTCTCCGCGAGGGCTTCGGTGGGCGCTGTTTGAGGACACTTTTATAACTCCAGCTGCTCGTGAGATCCGCCAGCGAAGAGCGTTTTGCGACACCTCGTGGCCCGGGTGGAACAAATGGCCGCGCCGCAGGAGGGAACTTGGCCCGTGACGGCCTTTGTCCTCCCGCTCGCGGGGCGCTCCTTCGCCGCAAGGGCTTTTTCTTCCATTCTGCCTGGCCGCCGCGCCTCCCTCTTTTCCGCGTCTTCCCTCCTTGTTTCATTTCGCCGCGGCGCTTCTGCCCATGGGAGGCGCGGTGCCATCATGTCGGCCCCACTCCGTGTCAAACGCCGCCCTCTCATAGGAGGAGACGTGTGCTGCGCGTGTGTGCCTGGGCGGCGGGGACGTCTTGTCTCCAGCCCACCACCTCCCAGAGACGCTGGTTGCAGGTGGCAATGCGATTGGGGCGGTCCAAATGCTTGGCATCAACTAAAATGAAAACGATGCCTTAGCGGTCTACTTTTGTTTTTCTCAAATGAATGCGGGAAAAACAAAATCCAAGTTACACCAAAGGAGCCTGAGAGAAATTCAGGGAAGTCCTTTGCAATTGTCAAGGCTTCAGTGGACAAAGACAACATATTACTGCGCATGTTTCTCTTTTTTTACTGGTGTGCCATTGCCATTTGGGATCGTTTCACTGCGTGAATAACTTCCAATAACACTTTGTGGCGTCTCGGCTTTTGTCTCTCTCTTCAAATATACGACCCCTTGACTGTCATGAAAACACACACTGACGGAACTTGACCGACCCACGACACAGAGGGCAATGAGTCACATTTGTCGCGCATGCATCGCATAAGCAATAATGTCCACATGGAACGAGCACCGTTTCCTTGGGAGAAAAGCACACCACGCACCTCTCATGCTCATCCGTCTATTTATCATCGTCACCATTTTCTAATCCATGACACAATCGCAGTGAGACTGCTGTCGCATGGCCTTTTGATGGTGAGCTGACGCCTTATTCACCAAAACAAAGCGGAATTAAGCCTTCAGCTGACAGCAACTGGCCCAGCTTCTTGACGACATGACAAAGTGAGGATGAAACTGGATGCCATGCTGCTAGCTCCGGCGTGTGACAACGTCCGGTAGCATCAACGTATTTGTGGTTGCTCGCTATCCTGCAGCCTTGTTCCGCGCTGAGGAGAAACGCCAGAGGAGGCTCAATGGGGTACAAGTGCGTCAGCCATATCTGCAAGGGCAAGACATAACGATGTGGTGGCGCCTGCTCACGGCTGTCTGGAGTTAAAGAAGTGTGGTCACTGTTGCTCTTCTTAATAGTAATAGGAAGCCCACCATAGATGCAAAGTTTTTCCTGTTGTGTCACTCCCCAATTGGCGTCACGACAGTAGAAATGGAAGGTGTTACACAAATTCTCGACGTCATGAAGGATGCGGCCCAGAACTTCAGGCTTACGGTGTGGGGAACAACTAAAAAAGCGAGTAATAATTTCGTTCATGTTATGTTTGATTGTATGCTTTCCCCTAAAGGGCAGAAGGAAGCTTCTCAAAAAAGGGAGAATAAACCATGCAGTAATAATAGGGTTGTGGGGACTTCGTAGAAAGAAAGTCACAGTGTCTTCTTTTCCAGTTCGCATTCCCATTCGTAAACTGAATACAAGGCCTCCCTCTCTCTCTTTCTCCATATATATAGTACAAAGGAAATAGCGGGGTGCGATGGAAAAGAGATTTCACCACTCATATAGATATTCAATTACAGAAAAAAGTCTCTCGCAGAAACCCGCATCTATGGGCAGGAGAAAGGAGATCGAAATTTACCCGGTGTGTAAAAAACGGCCTGAACTCACTTCAAAATTGGTTTCTCCAGCGGGCTCCATGCGTGTGTCGCCTCTCATCGGCTGCATCGGCAGACAACGTGGATCCGCGCCTTGAAAAAGCCATGCTTCTGGTAACGATGTATTAGATCGGGAAAGAATTATTTTCCACACGCCCCTTCCTCAAGCATGCGGCACGTGCAAGAATCCCAAGCTCGTATCGCCAAGACAAGTTCCATAAAACAACCATCCAAATCAATGGAACGCAATGTAAATTTCCAGAATCGAGTGCTAAATAGGTGTCCATTGCTTCTCTATTGCTTGTTCATCGTGTTTTTTTTCCCAATAAATTTTATAACCCACAAGCCGGCCACCGTCTTCGAGCACGTCCGCCCTGCCGAGTGGGAACGTAAAAGGAGGTCCCGGCCCCGGAGAGGGCGTGAAACGCACACGATACGCCATGCCACCGAGCTAGCACGGTGGAACGATGATCCCCCGCAGCCGAGAAACAATGCAATAAG